GGGAAGATCTGCATCGCTTGTCTGTGGAGCGGGTGGGGCCCTTCAGACCCGAATGGAGCGTCATGAACATTCCGTTCAAGAACGTGCACACGAAAAGGCAGTACACGCAGCACCTGACGCGCCTGCTACGTGCATCGAACATCCTGGATCACGACAAGCCTCTGGAGAGCCTCGACTTTCGGGTCTTGATGGCGGACACATCCTCGCAAGAAGCGTTGCGCAGCGCCCTGTCGGATTTTTTTAGAGAAAAGTATCCGACCGGGTTTATGATGTGTATGTCGCTCAAGTGGGTGACCAAGATGATCGGGGGCCGGATCATCGTGGTTCCCGATGACCTGGAGCTGCGCTGGCAGGGTACCTCGAGGCTTTCAACAAGCTCATTGACTATGAGCTGACGATGGCGGCCCGACTCCAGAAAAGAAGCGAAGCGCGCCCGTCGGGACCGGAAGGTGCAATCCTACCAGAGCGGAGGAGGGGAGAAATCCGAAGCCTCGGCCACGCCGGACGCGCTTCCTCTCGAAGCCCCGGTCAGGGCTGCCGCCGGATGAAATTGCGGTAGCAAGACAGGAAAATGCAGATTTGGTGGGCCCGGTCACGGATCTCGACCCCTAGCCGGAACCGGATAACGAAAGGAATAAAACCGGGCCGCAGAGGAGAGACACAGAATACCCGGGGAGTCTCTGCCGGCCAGACCAGTGGTGCCCTCTCTCTCTCTCTCTCTCTCTCTCTCTCTCTCTCTCTCTCTCTCTCTCTCTGACTCTACTCGTGCAACCCTCATCAAGAACAGCAACAATCGCCATCTTCGACGCCAAAATCAAGTGAGTAGCCAGCAGAAGGCTGCCTGCCACTCCCAGCCCTTCAGCCATGTCCACCACACACGCATTCTCCCCCCCCCCCATCTCTACCGGGCGTCTACCCCAATCTCGGTCTGCCGTCCCGTAGGGCCAGGCCCTGCCACCACTAGCAGATAGACAGCTGTGGGGTAGGATGATGGGAATCGTGGGATGGCGCCGCACTGCCGGAGTGCGGCAATTGTTCATGTTACAATTGCTTAGTACGAAATTCATAGAAGCTAATACATAAAAGACGATCAATGAGTTGAGCGGAAATCCCAAAAGTATTACGACCTGAATGCCAAGTGCCAAGTTGGTATCGGTTTGGTAAAACCTTGGTATCCGATTGGCATTTCTTTATAAGTATAAAATGTCTCTTCGTGTGAGGCAGTTTGGAACCATTCATGATGGTAATAATGAGCCGCTGTCCTTATTTGTTGCCGGGTGACTATTGGGCCATGTACAAAGATCCCAGCCAGACGATACTCGGGCATCGTCTGGGATCAGGAAGCGGCGAAAGCGGTGCGGGACCTCCTGGTGGCGGTGTCACCCGGAAGGTCCTGGCCAACTCGACACTGACCGGTACGGTCGGAAATGCCTACCAAGATGGCGCCAGAAACACAGGCTCCCGATAAATATTCAGAACTTGTACCTTTTTTACATCGGCAAAGTTATTTCTTGTAACGTGCTCCGTCCAGCGTGTTCGTGTATGGAAACCTTACGCATGAAACTGTTGGCAAAGTTGGTAGGGACTGGAACTCTTCCGTACTAGTCTCAGGCAACAGCTCTTGTCAGTACACGGATGTGGGAAATGAATGCTAAGTGTATCCATGGGTACTGCTCTCAAACGATATAAATATTGCACAGCCTTGGGTTATTTGTAGGTATTCCAAATGCTTGCTTTTAAAACGAGTAGCATTCGGTCATCTAACTCTCTCTCCGACCCCGGCTCAGCGCAGGCACGTGCCTACTGACGCGCCTGATAAAGGAGGTGTAGTATTCCTCTGATCTTTACCTACGAGATTACTTCATATGTGTTTAGTATGCGATATTGGCGTTTTTCTTACGTGATGCGATGTAGAGCATGAACGATAGGACTAAGAGGAGCAGATTATCTCAGTCTCCCTATAAATTGGAAGTCTGCCCGTTGGAGAGAGGTCCGAAAAAAACTATCAGAATGTGCCTGAAACGTCTCGTTAGTGGAATAAAAGTCTCGTTATCGGAAATACCACTATCTGGCAACTATCGCAATGTAAACAGGGCTAATGAGAGTGTGTCCGGAGTGGAAAGTTTACGGAGCGAGAACTTTCAAATTATGACGTGATTTGACCTTGAAAATAGTGACCTTAGGTTATCAAATTTGCATAGTTAAGAGTTCATATACAGTATATAGCCTACCCACCTACGAAACTCCGCACTTCCAGGAGCGGAGATAGGAGGGGGAGGGGGGGGGGGCAGAATCTGCGCGCCTCCCCTTCAGGGCTTATAATCACCCAACCCTCTCCAGGGCGCGAGCTAAAAAGTAATTTCAGTAGTGCGAGATCATGATCCTCGCTCAATTTTGTGTTCACAGGCATGCATGGACCCCGTAACTTTTTACGGGCGTCCATGGCCTCTGCAGGATGCGAGCGTCCAGCTGGTTGCCATCAACGTGTACGCTCAGGTCGGCCAACTGTTGAATTTCCCGAAGAAGGGCAGGCGAGTTCGTTGGGTTCGGGAGAACATCCGTTTGTCAGACGTGGGGTACTTCCAGGATAAAACCCTGGATGAAGTGATTCGTTTGGCGTCGGTGAGGGTGTGTCCGAAGTGGTGGGTGCGGTACACAACGAGGACGGTGATGAACTGCACGACAAGGCAGCAGTGGTCAAAGGGCGGCGCCACCGACGTAAAACCCAGTGGGTGAAGACCGATGCAGGTCTACGAGCTGAAAAATACTGGACCGTGGTGTGTACCTTCTGGTAAAGCTGTACCGACAGCGGCACTGATGTGCAGTATGGCAAGACACAGACTAGGGCATATGTAAATCAGACATATGCATGGCCAAGTTAAGGTTAGCTGGGTAGGAGGGGACTTGTGGCGGCAAAAATTCAGTCTGATGACTGAATCTGTGTGCCGTTTGGCAGCGGCCCTGTTTGCCCGTGTCATTTTGTTTGCTGTCTGACCATAATTTATGTGTACTTACGGACGTTTGTTTCTTTCTTCAGTTGGTCATCAGCTCATCGGCCGCTAAGCATGGACGTGCTCGAGGTCAGCGACCCAGAGGCACACCGATGGCTCTCGCGGCACCTCCGATGCTCGGCGCCCCCGCTGCGCCTCCTAATAGGAGACTCGGTGGTGCGGGATGCCGGCCTGAGATCTAGACTGGGCCGGCACCAGTTCCTCAACCTGGCCAGAGGCGGCGCAACACGGGCTTCGACTGCCGATGAGCTCCACACCATCCTGGACCGCTGGACGTCGGAGGCGGAGAGACCGGGTGGCCGACGCCCTTCAGCTGCCCATCTGGCTGGTCATGACGGCGGCCTTCCCGGACCGCTGAGCAGTGAGTTGTGAGTGAGCGCGCCGGCGGTGCGAGAAGTGGACTTTAGTTATGAAAATGGGGCAAGCCCCATTTTGGTGGGGAGTATGTTAGAACTCAGTTAATTTAGTTATCGTCTTTTCGCCCGCTTGTCAGCTCGGCCGCCCGTTGTAACAAATTAAAATGTTCGCCGTGGAGTCTTCTTTTTCAATTATAGGCCAGCGATGTTGCGTTTCATTGAGTTGATCGATAAATACTGAACAACTCGTTCACCTATTGCACTTTCTTGAACCAAAGCTGCACCAATAGCACAATTTGACGCGTCTGTATATAATTTATACGGCTTGTTGATATCTGGGAAGGCGAGTATTGGGGCATGCGTGAGTGCGGAACGTAAGGTTTCGAATGCAGTTTGACACTGCTCTGTCCAGATAAAAGGTCTATTCTTCTTCGTAAGTTCCGTCAGCGGCTTGGCAATTTTAGCAAAGTTCGAAATGAACTTCCTATAGAATCCACACATTCCCAAAAGAGTTCTGACATCTTTAGCATTTTCGGGCGAAGCTAGCATTTGGATAGCCTTTACTTTCTCAGGGTCTGGCTTGACTCCACTTGCTGAAATGACATGTCCCAAATAATTTACCTCTTGTTTCAAAAACTCACACTTAGTCATTTTAAGCTTAAGCCCTGCATCTCGCAAACGGTCAAAGAAAGCTTGAATGTGTTCCAAATGCTCATCCCAAGTCTTAGAATAAATCAAAATGTCATCCAAGTACGACAACGTAAATTTATGTTGAATGCCTTGCAAGACCTTGTTCATAAGTTGTGAAAAGAAGGCTGGCCCTGAAATGATACCGAACGGTATGCAAACGGGTGAATAAATCCCCAGAAAACATGTGAACGCAAGCTTGTCCCGAGACTCAGTATCAACGGGAATTTCCCAGTACCGCACATCCGGCCCTCCTCCCCGACCTCAAGGCGTTCATCCCAGACAGCACAGTGCTCCTCCCCGGTTCAGGACTGCTCCGCCTCCCCGCTTCCCATCGCAAACACGCCCGCCAACAAACCCACCGAGACCCACGACAGGAACATTCCATACCCACTTCACCGCGAAAACTAAAACGTGCTGGTGAGGGACCCGCCAGACAACACGTTCCTCCTCAGTCAGGTCCCTTCAAGTCTGAAAAGTATGGCCCCAAAGTTGCTAGAGTTTTTGTCAAAAAGGACACTCCTATGCTCTGATTGTATCTAGGGAAAAAGAAAGTTTATTCGTTAGTGGATTCTGGAGCTGACATTTCGCTTATTTCTAGACAGTTATTTGACCAAATCGCGGCGAAAAACAAATTTGAGTTTTCTTCTAAAAACTCTGTGCCCCTACAAACTGCTTCCGGACAAAGGCTCAAGAACTTCGGTACCGTGGTATTGGAAATGAAAATCGCAGGGTTTAGTCACCCATTCAAGTTTCAGATAGTCGAGGGTTTGAAAAATTTGAAGTAGAAAGTACTAGAATTTTATTTGTTAGCATATAAACACACATTAAAGCAAATTCAAAAACTTGACCTTTCCGAAATCACACCTCGGTCAGACTGAGGGACACGATTCGCGCGCCGTCACAGCCCCGTGCACAGAGCACCATCCCAAGCTACCGCAGTCGCTTACACAATTCGCTCGTAGAACAACATGTAAGCTTGCGCCTTGAGCACCTTGTCCAGAGTCACCTCTGTGACGTGCCTGTCACTCACGTAAAACCACCGCCCGGCCTCCGGCTGCGGCTCCGGCTCCGTCTCGGGCTCCGGGGCGGGCTGTTTTTGATCCGTCTGTGACTCCTGTGGCGCGGCGGCGGGGTCCTCGCCCTCCCCGTCATCCCGGCCCTCCTCTGCGGGCCTGACCGGGGACGGTCCGTCCGTGGTCTCCGGTCGGGTCTGCTCGGCGCGCTGCCTTGCCCGCTCACACGCCACGGCGAACGCGTCGGTGACGAGTGTGGTGACTCGCGCAGGGTTGACGGTGAGCTGGTCGTGACGGCGGCGCACGCGCACGTAGGCTGTGTAGTGGCCGCTGGTCAGTCGACCGCTGTGCTCAACGACACCAAAAAGCGAGTAGAGCACCCGCCGCTGGCCGGCCCGCATCTGAGGCAGGTCCTGGCTGATGGAGGAACAGAAGGGGGCCAGATCGAGCCGCTCGCCGAACTGCACGTGCCGGTTTACCTTCCGCAGGCTGAAGCTGCACACCTCGAACCGCTTCAGGTGGATGGTCAGCACCGGCGGCGGACTGTAGATGAGCAGCTGCTTGCTGGCGTTGCTGTATACTGTGCCGAGTTTCTTCTCAGCTGCTTTTTCAGCCGCCTTGAGCCGTTTGTTGCGCAGCTCGGTGCAGTTGTCGCAACCGAACTTGCTGTTGCCGGTGAGCAGCTCGGGCGCCGTGTACTGGTTAAGGCAGGTGAGCAGGCTGCACTCGCCAGCGGCCGCCTGGTAGCGCGGCGCCAGGGTGGTCAGAGCTCGACTGAGCCACTCACAGCGGCTCAGCGGCGGCGGCGGGCCGTCCGAGGGATTGGCCGCCGGTGAGGGGGTCCCCGCCCTTTCGGCCGGGGCAGACTCGGTTGGCGCGCAGGTCCCGCCGTTCGGCGCAGACTGGAGTTCACCGCCGTCCGCCAACCCTGCCGTTGAGCTCTGGCCGTTCGCCACTGCCTCCGTCGGCACACCGCCCGGCACCTCACCGGGTGACGGCGACTGGCCCTCCCGCGGGGCCTCCTCGGCTGCCCTTCCGCAGTGACCGTTCGGAGCGCCCAGACTGTTCTCACGCGCCTCCACTGCCTCTCCGCAGTTCTCCGCCGGCACAGAGCTCTGCTTCTCCCCCACCTGGTCCGCTCCCGCCGTCTCCGGCGCACCGTTCGGGGCTTTGTCAGCACTCTCCCCGACCAGTGGCACCAGCCCGGCCGGCGCCGCGTCCGCCTCCACCGGTGACGACGGCCGGCCGTTCACCGTCAGCGGGCCCGGCTCGTCCCCACACGAGTTCGCAGCGGCAGCGGCGCCGGCGCGGTCCACTATCAGCGCGCTGAGCCGCTCCGAGAGCTCCTCCGCGGCCAGGTCGGCCGGCGCGTCGGGGCTGACCGAGGCAGGCGGCTCGTCAGCCGGCGGGTCGGGGCTGACCGAGGCGGGCGGCTCGTCAGCCGGCGGGTCCGGACTGACTGAGGCCGGCGGTTCGTTCAGCTCGTCTTCCGTCGATTCCCCGCTGACCGAGGCCGGCGGCGGGTCGAGCTCCGACAGCGGGCTGAAGATGATATATTCGGCGGCGGGCAGCGAGAGGTCGAGGAAGGGCTCCATGCTGTGTGTGCAGGCCATGCAGGCCTGACACACCACCAGGCTGACCAGCTGGCCGCTGAAGATGGAGTCGATGGTCGTATGCGATACCTGGCGGCCCAGCGCCTTGGCACGCGCCTTCATGTCGTCGGGTACTTCCTTGGGGTCGGCCTTGGCCGGCAGCCCCAGATCGAGCAGGATCTGCTTCTGGTGCCGCCGGAGATCCTCAAGCCGCGCCTGCTCCATGAGCGCTCGCAGCAGCTCGTGTGCGTCCTGCTGGTCGCAGCCCACAAACTGGGGCACCTTCAGGGCGATCTTTCTGAGCAGATGACTGGGGGAGACGGTGGAGCCGGTGCCCGTGATGTGCATCTTCTTGAGAAAGTCGCACAGCGAGGCGGTGATGGGCCCGCCCTCCGGCAGCACCAGCTTCATTGTCTCCCCGTTAGCGCTGACTGTGACCTTTCGCCCGGAGCGGCTGCTGATGTCTAGGTAGTGCGTCAGGTAGTGGCACTGGCTCAGACACTGCAGCACCGAGTTCAGGTAACACGAGTTGCCCAGGTTGATCAGACCCTTGACCTTCGGAAGTGACTCGTTATCACAGTCCGCTTGAGCCTGTTTCTCCTTAGCGGAGGCGCCCTTGGAAGACTTGGGAGGCGGAGTGTCCTCCTTGGATGGCGTGGTCCCGGGACGTAGAGTTCCCTGCTTTTTCTTGACAAACTGCACAGCTTCGTGAAGTTTCTTATTACTCTTCAGTGACACTTTCTCGTTACATGTGAAACACCAGACGCCCCAGTCGGCGGCGGCGTTGACGGCCAGCGTGTGCGAGTCGGAGCGCGGCGTGTTAAAATGCTGCGTGGCGTGCCTCGCGCAACCCTGGTGGCCGCACTGCATGCACAGCCAGACGCCGTGCGGCAGCTGCGCGCCCGACGGCACCGACTGCTCCTCCCCATCCGCGGGTGCCGTGCACGGGGTCGGCACCTTCTTGTCGCAGGCGCCGATCCACCGGTTCGACTTCAGCTGCCGCTTAATGTCAGCCAGGCTGACGCTCTTGCCCACGTGCTGGCACATGCTTATACCATTGTTGGGAAGTCCCATGTTCAATGGATCCAGTATCTCCTGTTCTGCTGGTCTGGTCTGGTCTGGTCTGGTCTGGTCTGGTCTGGTTTGAAAAATGATTGCTTGCTAGGAAATGATTTCCTGTCAGAGTTTGGTGTCCAGCTTGATTTCGGGCAAAAGACGATGAACATTGACAGTTACGTCATTCCTCTACGGCCCCAGCGTTTGACCTGTCAAACCACAACTTCTTTAGTCAGGTTGACCCAAAAAGTTACCGTTAAAGCTCAGTCGTACGTTGAAATTTCAGGACAAGTGAACAGAGCTCAACTAGTTGACCAGGAATGCATCGTGCAACCTCTTCGCAACGCACCGATTCTCGGAGAGGAACCAGGGTTATGTTAAGTAGAAAGTGTAGGCAAGGTCAATCAAAATCATAGGATTCCGGTAGTCATAGTGAACACTACAGGTAGGGACTACACGTTTTCAGCCCGTTCAGTGGTCGGATTAGCGGAGGTTATTGATGATCCAGACGCGCGCATTGCCACTGTTGAGGAATTTGTTGAGTCAGAAAATGTCAAAGCGGGTCAGACAAATCAAACGACTGAAAGTTCAAACCCAGAGGATGTGCCTGAAACACAAAAAGCCGATCTATCACACATCACTTCACACGGCAGTCAGTGTGGCGCACGCTCGGACCATTGATGGTGACCGCCAACCTCATGTGCACTTTCAGGGAAGTGGGGTGGGCCCGTCTCCTGTCTCTGTGCCCCGGCGAGAGCACAGGGTTTATGACGGCGCTTGAGACCGTGCGAGACCACGGTGCGAGCGTTGTGTACAAGCGTCCTGAGAGCATCGCGCAGGCCCGCTACAAGAGAGTTGCCCTGGCAGCTATATTGGTGGGCCAGGTGGCGTACCCAACACTGCACGACCTTAATGGACGCTTCCGGACAGCGCCCCTGAGCGCTGCGCTCAGGCACTGGATCCGGGACAACAAGGGTCTGGTGTCTCAGGATCACGCCGATGAGCTCTCTGAAGACTTCCTTGAGAAGGTCGGCCGTCTGGTCCAGGAGATCGGGGGTGTGAGCGGCATGGAGTAAGCCTCCGCCGGAACCACTGAGTTAGAGGATCGGCCAGTAAGACAGCGGGGGGCCGCATTCAGCGGCAAGTAGTTTACTCTGGCCCGTTAACCGAGAAGGCAGCGCCAGCTGCTACGAACGTTTTAAAACTCTCGTATCACCTCTACGAACGTTTTAAAACTCAAACTGAACTTTGGTCTCTGATTTCTCGCAAACGGGTTCGAATTTCGGAAAACCGACTTCAGTCTGGGACATAGGTGGCTCAGCTCTAGTGAAAAACGTTTTGTGAATTTTTTTTCTAAGATAGTCCGTTACCCATGATCAGGTAACCAGGAGTGCCCCCTCCCACAGTCCCGGCGACGCACAGAGACCTTACTTTAACACCAGGTAACATAATAAATTGATCAAGTCGCGGCACTCCCTGCTAAGAAGTGGAAAATATAAATAAAATATAACGCATGCAATACTACTAAAAAATGTTAGTAAGTACGCCAAAAAGGAGGAAAGTAGTCATTGCCAAGTGAAGCAAAATGACTGCCCACTATACCAACACAAGCAACTATCATTTATACCAGTGTTAGTAATTAACGCAATACGCATTCATACTCAAGGTGGGGAAAAGCATGCCTGGTCATGTTCTTGCAAGGTTATTTTTATTGCCGAAACCCTTGGCTCCGTCCGGCTAAGCTAGGCTTGTTGCCAGCTTAGCCGGACGGTAGGCTGGCAAAAGTACATTAAAGGTAGACTGCCAAAATGGAGGCAGTCTACCTTTAATGTACTTCAATAGTGACGGAACAACTGCCGTCCTCGTCACATGCGCAGCCACCCATTTCCGGCACATTTGTTTCAGGTGACGCTCTCCCGGGGGTCGTCTACAGCTTTGACCTGTGGCACGCCACCAAGTTGTTCGGAAAAGAGCTCGATAAGGCGTCGGACACTGCAAAAACGAAGGCGCTGAAGCCATGGGTGCGTCACCTAAAAAACCACCTGTGGTGGAGTGCCGAGACCTGCGCTGGGGAGACCGATGTCATGCAGGTACGGAAACGGAATATTGTTTTTTAGAGGGTATTGTTTGAAACACATGTATTATCTGATGGCTACATATTATACATCACACACCCAGTGTTGTGATTTGAAACAGGCTTACTCCGCTTTGCCGAGCAACCCTCGTGACCTGGCAGGAAGCCACGAGCGTTCCGAGCGCTGGCGTGTGGAGATGCTAGATTTCCAATACGCATTTCCAGTGATCCGACCTTTACCTTCCATTGTGGGGCTACCCGACAAAGCGGGGTGAGCCTGACTCAAATCACAACTCTGCACACACCTCCCTGGCCACCCTGAAAGTGAATTATTGAGACTATCCACAACTAATGATTTGGCACATTTGTTTTCTTTCATACAGAAAAGCGTGGAAATGTCCGCCCACCATGTGTGCGGCGTGCACGCAACGCTGCTCAACCGCTGCCACCACGACAGCGAGGAGCCGGCCGAGCACCCACCGTACCTGGAGTACGGCAGCGCCGCCCACACGGCGATGACGAAGGTGTTGCTGGGCGACAAGCTCAAAAAGAAGCTGCCGCACCTTCAGATGGTTATTTTTCGAATATTTACAATTCTTTTATATTTCGACTGCCAATTCCGTTAGTGTGCCTACGTTTAATAAAGAGGGCAATCCTTCTCTTGATCTGGTCGAATCTGAATGACAGGTAAGTTTTTATGACTAAATCCATTTGGGCTTCTTTGTTCTCAGTCCGCTATGGAAGAATCCCAGGTCTCAGGTTCTGCTGCTGGTCAGACGGCCACACCAAGTTCGAGATCAGACGACTGCATAGAGATGCCGTCATCTATGCCATCGACGTCCAGGATGCCTTCGAGACCGACTTTAACGCCAAACCGGGCACCGGCTTCAACAACACCAAGTCTGGCAGCGGCTTCAACGCCAAACCGGGCACCGGCTTCAACAACACCAAGTCTGGCATAAAGAACGCAAACATTCGTATTCTTGGTTATTATACCGCGGGACCGGCGGTCAACGTCCAGTCATCTCGTGATGTTACAGACGGCGGTACTGACCACGTGCCTTGTATCCTTGTGCGCGGGTGGTGGACGGCAGAATACCAGCTCGACGGCTGTCACCTGGAGGTGGATTTTCCACCAGCGGCGGCACGGGATGAAATCCGCGATTATTTTCTCAGATGTTTTTGTTCTTGGTTAACAAAATATACTGAACTGAACTGAACTGAACTGAACTGGCAGTGGCTTCAACGCCAAGACGGGCACCGGCTTCAGCCCCAAGTCTGGCAGAGGCTTCAACGCCAAACCGTGCACGGGCTTCAGCCCCAAGTCTGGCAGCGGCTTCAACGCCAAGCCGGGCACCTTAAGCGTTGGACATCCATGACATGATCGATTGTAACTTTGTATATACGAGGTGTATACAATAATGATGTCTATTGTAGATGATTTGGAAACCGTAACCAAACCAAATACTGATCCGAATCATGGAAAAATAGAAAAGGAATGCCATTTTTACCGAAGTTCAATGGTTTTGTACAATTCAATTTATAATTTATAATTATTTTGTACCAAACCAAATACTGATTCGAATCATGCAAAAATGGAAAAGATTTTCTTTGTCACAGTTCAATGATTTTGTACAATTTGAATTATTATAAAAACAAATAATTTAAAGTGACAAGAATAATCTCATTTATTGTCATGTAGGAAAGGCTATATCCCATTTTTGGTGGCGGCTAAATAGAGTTTGCAGCGGAAGCTTATTACGTATTGATCAATCTTATTATGTAACAGCTGAACGCTGTGACATTTTTTTCAACATCAAAAACTTATCTTTTTCATACATATAAACTGCCTCACATAGTACCCTGTCTGCCAGGACGCCGGGGCCAAGGAGGAGACCGGTCACACGCCTACCGAGCGGCTGTGCCCCATCAAGCCGGCTAATGCCACAAGATCACATGTTCGCCGACGGTAGCGCAAACAAACCCCACCCGACGCCGAGCCAGCTTCAGACACCCTGGCGCCCTCACATCCTTTCGGGGCCTCTGGCCAGGCCAGCTGCGTCCGACGTCACTGGAAGTCAGCATCCGGCGAAACATCTGGTGCTGGCTAGTGCGAAAAGCACCGCGTCCGGCGCAGCCAAGAACCGACACCCGGCGGAAATCGACTGTGAAAAACGTCACGTCCGACCAGGAAACAGCGGAGAGGGGTGATATCCGAAGCCTCGGCCACGCCGGACGCGCTTCCTCTCGAAGCCCCGGTCAGGGCTGCCACCGGATGAAATTGCGGTAGCAAGACAGGAAAATCCGGCTTTGGTGGGCCCGGTCACGGATCTCGACCCCCAGCCGGAACCGGAAAACGAAAGGAATAAAACCGGGCCGCAGAGGAGGAGACACAGAATACCCGGGGAGTCTCTGCCGGCCAGACCAGTGGTGCCCTCTCTCTGACTCTACTCGTGCAACCCTCATCAAGAACAGCAACAATCTCCATCTTCGACGCCAAAATCAAGTGAGTCGCCAGCAGAAGGCTGCCTGCCACTCCCAACCCTTCAGCCATGCCCACCACACACGCATTCTCTCCCCCTCCCCATCTCTACCGGGCGTCTACCCCAATCTCGGTCTGCCGTCCCGTAGGGTCAGGCCCTGCCACCATTAGCAGATAGACAGCTGTGGGGTAGGATGATGGGAATCGTGGGATGGCGCCGCACTGCCGGAGTGCGGCAATGGTGCATGTTACAATTGCTTAGTACGAAATTCATAGAAGCTAATACATAAAAGACGATCAATGAGTTGAGCGGAAATCCCAAAAGTATTACGACCTGAATGCCAAGTGCCAAGTTGGTATCGGTTTGGTAAAACCTTGGTATCCGATTGGCATTTCTTGATTAGTATAAAATGTCCCTTCGTGTGAGGCAGTTTG